ATGTCTCATTATCCAATCAGATAAGGATTACCCAAGTAGGTTAAGAGTAATAATAACTTGTTTTTCTAGTTATCACATCATGGTCACCTGTGATGGTCATTATAGATAGTGTATGAAACTGTTTTGACACCAGTCTTGTGATTAATATTCATCAAGTGTTTAATTATAGACGAATTTGCAAGTCTACCACCTGAGCTTATTGGGGCTTCACAGATCATCTGTTTGTCTAAGCACTTGGAAATATTTTCTAAAGTTTCGTTTGTAAGGGTTAGTTTTGTTTTAACGAGTTGATCACGGATTGATATCAGTTAGGGAACCATTGAAAACCAGGGAGTACTGGACAGCTTTTTCATCCTAGTGTGAGAGTCAAACAAACTATAGAAAATTAATCTGATGCTCGCTAGTGACTTGCTACAGGATGAAGTTTCCTTGAGTTCTAGTGGGAAGTCGTGACCAGTGAGGTTCATCCAGATGTCACGCGTGAGGATGGATGTCCCACCTACGACAATGGTTGGGGTCGCACTATATCACGAAACTGATAGAAGTTAGAATTCATTCGTCGGCCATTGAATCGGGTCCCACTGGCTGAATGGTATACGAGCTTGCCTTGTAACCAGAAGGTCCCGGGTTCGAACCCTGTCGGTGAGTGCCTACTTCCGATGATTCCTAAACTAGGATGAAACAGCTGTCCAGTACTCCAGTGCTGGTTTTCGATGGTTCTTTAACTGATATCAACCCGTAATCAACCCTCACCCTCACTTGCAAACAACAATTACTTCTTCTTATGTACGTGTGACCACACATACATGTGAATCAGTGTAGTTTGGAATGTGACGCAATCACTTGTGCAATGTCTAAGCTTACAGTAGAACAAACGTATGGCTTTTCCTATAATTTTAAGCCAGGATGCATAACAAGTTTTATAGATGATTCAATTCAGTCTCTCTATTAAAACCCTATTTTGTATCTCCTCATTGCAAGATAGTTTTACGTAGACCTCTATGTTCGATTTGAGACAAGGTAGTATCAAATGCTTGTGCATCTACTCCTTCTTTTAATGAAGCAGGAACTTATCTAAGTCAAGCTGGCAATGTGACCAACAAATACAAAACCTAGGTTCAAGGTTCCCCGCCTCCAACAACCTATTAAACTCTTTCTTTGAGATGAAACAAAATGAAGGTTATGATAAAAACTCATTAACCTGCGCATCATGTCAAAAATTTCAGGAATACCAATTTTTGACAACAACAGCATTCGTCAATATTTTCTCGTCGTCAACTATAACACTAGCTGCACAAACAAACTGGTTCCTGTTAAATGATGGTAATATCGGCCGTACTCAGCGTTCGCTATCCAAACACGTCAACAAACATTTACCTTCATGGTTTTATAAAGGAGAAAACCGATGCCCCCACAGCTCGATTCTTGAACATTTGATTGAATCTGGACACCAAGTCAAACCAGGAATAAACTTCAAAGTTATCTACAGAATACAAGGCAATATTGCTAAAAGTGTACGGATCAAACTTCTCCACATCACAGAGGCAATGGCAATTCATCTGCTAAATCCTGAACTCTGCATACAAAAGAAATTCGTTCATTCATTAAATCTACAATGGACGTATTTTCCCTTAATTTCAGTCTTACTAATTGTATAATTTTGTCTTTTGTATTTTATCTTCACTTATATTATTCTCTACCCCACCCTTTTGTAATCTCTACCCTCATTAACAATGTTGCTAACTTGACCCACGTCCAATTTCTAGTCAACTATGTTACGTCATCCGATTAACTTACTTATTTTCAACTGTATTATTCTCTACCCCACCCTTATTTAATTTTAACCAACACTCATTAACACTGTTGCCAACCTGATCTACTCTGAAATCTACTCAACTGTATTACGTCATCCAATTCACCTTATCAATTCTATTTTATTTTCTATCTTAACGTTTGTCTGCAAGCCAAATAATCCTTATATTACTTAATTATCTAAACTTTATAAATCTAATGTACACACACACAAACAAAATTGTATACAATTGCGGATGTACAGCTCAGTGAACGAATTCGCCGAAAAGAGTCTCTTCGCTGTACTCCTTCTTTTCTTTTATATGATAATAATAATAGCTTCGTTTTGGACTGTGTTTATTTAATGTACAGAATTTTCAGTGGAGTGCAGTGCAAATTTTTTTCTTCGCACAAGATCTTCAGATAAAATATTAGCTGACAGTGGATGCTATGACACGATGCTGTCTGACCTGATGCGTAAACCAATCAATTATAGCGAAAATATTCATTCAGATATCTAAAAAAATAAAATAATTGAGCAAAGAATATCCTTTTCGATAATTTCCTCTTCTGGCTCTACAATTATATATGCATGTTTATATACATAGAATATTCTAAATTATTAGTCAATAAAAATATTAGTGTTTTTTAAGTAATGTCGGTTTGTAAAGTAAGATCAATGCAATTACAGTTCATTAAAGATGATTAAATAATAATAAAGATAAAGTAGCAAATAGAATATCAACTAAAATTAGGAAAATTCCATAAAAATTCAGGATCATTCAGAACTAGATGGCCAAAGTAAGGATAATGTCTGAATTAACTTCTTTTGGACGCACAAATTAGGCTTCTTGATGTGGATCCCAACAGCCAGTCTCAGCAATATTTAGTAATCGAACTCTTAAGGTAAAATTGAGATTTGTTGGTATGCGGTAAATGACTCTGAAAGCCTGGTTAACATCAATCAGTCTTGTGTTCTGTATCCACAAGATGAGATAGAATAGCACTACGAATAGATTTTACTTGTCCTTTACTAACTTAAACACTATGCAGGGTGATGTTCCTCTCCGTAGAGAAATCCACGATATTAGTTTGAAAGTCAACTGTGAAAAGTTCAGGAGTACATTTTTAGACCCAACGACATGACTCGAGAACAATTATCTCATGTATTAAGATATGCTGCCATTCACGATTATGCTTTTTCTCAGGTTTAATAGAAACGGAAAAATTAGCAGGTTGTAGACACTTTAATTACCCGGCGACGGTAAGTAATCTCATTAGAGATCATATTTTACTCGATTAAAACAAAGTGAACAGGAGAAAATACATAAACAATATAATGATGAAGGTTTTTAGTGGATCAATTTTGAATCAGGTCGCCTGATCTAAATAAGCACTTAACAGAGCCTATCGTATATTGTAATAGACAGAAACTTTGGAAACTTTGATTGGACACTAGTTTTTTTCCTTCACTTTCCCCAGTGGAACATAGAGCTTCAAGCTAGTGGCTTGAAGTTTCTGTAGCAGTGTTTATTTTACAGGATGGGGTTGCTAGCCTCATGCCCAACCTTTCTTCTTCACCAGCATTATTTCTGGCTTAGCGAGGTAAAGGATTGCGTCGGCCGGGGATCGAACCGGGACCACGTGCATGGTCGTAGAGCGTCCTAACCGCTATCCCACCGACGCAGCTAGTTAGTGACAAGTATAGTTTGTCTAGTCCTTTGTTTACTGCAGAATGAATTCTATCAGTCAAGTTTACAATGTGGTCATCATGCCACTAGGTGGCTTGCCATCACGGTGCACTCAGGATTGTTGATATTAGATGGTTGAAGGCAATCGGCTGGAAGCCTTGGACCTAGGTTTCGTGCTTGCTGGCACTCACCAGTCAGCAAGGGTTATTTATCTGTAGCCTTGAAGGTACTCATGTCCCTCCAATCAAAAGTATTAATCGTAAGCCTGAATAGCTTTCTTGTATGCTTTCTGAGTGCAACATTGGGTAACATCAGTTCGTATCTCAAAAGGGACATGAGTTCCTTCATAGTGGCAAATACGCCTTGCTGACTGGTGATTGAATACCAACCACCATGAAACCTAGGCCTAAGCAAGGCTTCCTGCCCAATTTGCCTCTCATGTTAAATACTGCTTTCTCTAAGTAGGCTTCCTAAAAATCAACAGCTTCATTGAACCATCCTCTCCTTGACTCCATAGAGAATTATATATTCTATCATAGGACTATCGGAAAAGCAAGACAAGCTTTCACTACTCTCAAGTCTGTGTGGAGGTCAACAGCACTCAGCATCCAAAAGATCATAAGATCCGGATTTTCAACTCCAATGTGAAGTCAGTCAGTGCTACTCACTATACGGATCAGAGACTTGCACTGCACGTCATTAAGAGCATCTCAAACAAACTACAGACCTTCATCAACAGCTAGCTGTCTCCGCTCAATACTCAAGATTAGATGGCCAGCTGGCCAGAAAAGATCAGCAACAGAGATCTCTGGCAATGAGCGAACCAACTCAGCAGGAACCGATTGTGAAACAAATAGGCAGGAAGAAATGGAGATGGATTGGCTGGCCATACTCTGAGGAAACAAACCATCAAGTGAGTGACATCACTAAACAAGCCATCGCTCGAGTGGAAGCTGAAAGGGAAGCGGCGAGTTGGTCGTCAGTGCGAGGGTGGGTGACTTGGAGGAGTTCATGTGAAGAGGAGATGAAAAGGAGATGTGGGCAGACGTGGAGCCAGGTGAAGACTGTAGGAGAGAAGCGAACGCAATGAAGACGCACGGCTGAAGTCCTATGTTCCTCCAGGAATTAAAGGAAACAATAATAATAACAATAATAGGACCAAAGTGTTACACATGCATCAAAGCCAATCCAAGCAGTTGTCAAGACCATTTCGGATAATAAAAAAACAAACACCAATCACCAGCATAGACATCGTTATCAAAACATTATTATCTTTAATTTTGACACACATAAAAATATATTCACATTATTATAAACACCACAGATAGGAAAATAAACACAGTACAAAAAAGAAAGAGCACAAGAAAATAACAAAATTGAAAAATCATCATAAAACTTTACAATTCAAATTTGTTTTAAAAAAAAATAAATATTATTTTAAATTATGAAGTATTACTTGTACACACAGTATCAGTAATAATCGCCTTCATCACTTTGTTTTTATAATTATTTGTTTTAAAATCCAATAAAAAGGAATCATCTTTTTTTAAACTTATTTTCTTTGTTATAAAACTGAATTTATCTCATCCAAAAATAGGAAACTTTGGTTGGATGCTGGGAGCTTAGGGTAGGAGGATTACAAATGTGATATTTGAGTAGACATTATTATTGATTATGAGTTGATGAAGACGTGTAAAAATGAATTGGTGAGTAAGTGAGTGAGACGAGGAGTGAGTGAGTAGACGATTTCTTCTATAAGAAAAGAGAAAATTTATATATTTGATTCTCATATTTTATCATTTTCATTATTGTTTAAATCAACGGTGAATAGATTCTCTTCAACATTGAATGATTTTGGTATAACTGCTGATGTTCTTGGTAGAGTTGGTGCTATTGTTTTCGTTGGTATTGGGCTGCTATTATTATTATTATTACTATTATTATTATCATTGATAGTATCACCCACTGATTCACATGATATATTACTCACTCGCCTGAATCTACTCCCAATATGCTTTAAACCAATAATTAATATACAAGCAGTAATGACAAGAAGACATGCAGTACCCATCACTAAGTAGGGAAATACAAATTGTCCATGTGTTTGAATTAAATTCCCCGCTGTATACTGAAGCAGTGTAGCTCCAGATGAACTACCAAAATTAACAATAATCACTAAAAATCCCGAGATTTCACTTGAATTATTAATACAGGCCAGTGTCGCCGGGAACAGGGGACTTTTAAACAAACTAAACAGTGTTGTACATAAGAAAAACCAAAATTTTGTATGCGGTAAAATAATCAACCCAATAGAACTTAATAAAGTACCAAAGGCTAATGTGATCAAGACAATATTCTCTGATATATATAAAGCAATAAAAAAGGTGATTATCCGTGCAGAACAAAAACAAACCCAATAGATTAAATTTATCAGATAACCATCGGAAGTACTCAGTCTAACCGGACCGTATAATGCATAGGTGAACATAAATTTCCCAAAAACACGTTCATTTCCGACAACAGTGAAAAATGTCACAAATGTACAACAGATAACTAGAATTTTTGTCTTTGTAACACTACGAGATGTTCTCAGACAAAAAGAATGGAATCTTTTATACAACTTGGATATATTTAGTGATGATTTCTCGCCAGGTTTTTTCTCCGTTGGAGATGATGGAATCTGGAGAAGAAAAGTAAACAGAGAAAATGACAGAAATAGGGGATATTTTTAGGTGACAGGTGATAAAAATAGGTATGATAGATAAAAATAGATAAAAATAGACAAAAATAAATAAATATTATCCTGGAATGTAAGTTTAGAATTTGAGCAGTATTTATATAATTATTTAATGTTCCCTTGGGTTCCTAGTGGAACATAGGGCTTCAACTGCACTTCTCCACTAACTTCCGTCTTGTGCTGTCCTCTTCACCTGCATCCATGTTAGTCCATTCTGTTTCAACTCCCCTTCACACGATCTCCTCCATGTCACCCTTTCACTGACGACCAACTCGCCGCTTCCTTTTCGGGTTCCACTCGAGCACTGGCCTGACGCGCCATGTCACCCAACGGCCTCCCGCCTCAGCAAGTGTCCAATCCATCTCCACTTTCTCATGCATATTTGTTGGGCGATTGGTTCTTGTTTTGTTTCTTCCCATAGCTTCTTGTTGGTGATTCTTTCCGGTCATCTGATCTTCAGTATAGAGCCAGCGAAGACAGTTGTTGTTGATAAAGGTCTGCAACAGGCTGTTGGAAATATTCTTTGTGACCCACCGCCAAGTTTCTCATCCGTCCGTATAGAAGAACTGACTGACTTGACGTTTGTACTGAAAATCCGAATTTTGTTGTTGATGCAGGCTGAGTGACAGCGGAAGATTTCCAGATTGGTTTCAGGTTGATGAAGTTGATGTTTCTCGCCTTCTCGATTCTCGATTTGACATCCTCGTCTGTTCTTCCTGTAGTTGACAAAATACTCCTTAGATAAGTGAATGAAGTAACCTCTTTCAAATCCCTTCCGTTGATGGTGATTGGCGTTGAATGTTGCTGCTGCTGTTGTTGTTGTTTGTTGGTTATTTTCATAACCTCCGTCTTGTCTATGTTCACCTGGAGTGCTGTCTTCACTGCCTGCTTCTTCGAGCAGTTTGTCGGTTTTCGCTTGTAAGTCTTCGATTTTGTGTGACATGAAACATATATGGGCACCATGGCAGAATTTAATTCCATATTAGATAAGTTTATATTAAATATCGCACGGTGGTGTGGTATTAATAACTGGATTAGTATTGAATCGATAAACAAGGCTTCAGTGATAAACCTCCCTGTCTCTTCACCCAACATTGTTACTTTTTAATACTCTCACCTTGTACAACCCCACGTTTTGTGTGATTACTTACATTCAAGTGAATTCAATGAAATGTCTGAGCTTTTTTCTAGGTTATTTAACTTATCAGGGTCAATTATTCTAGGTCTAGGTCTAGCAAGATTTTTATGTTCCAATAATCTAATTGACTCTGATCTACCAGTTTGTCTTATGTAATTGACATCACAGTGATTACATTTTTTATTTTTATTTATTTTATTCCTTCACGTACCCAGTGGAACATAGGGCCTAAAGCCAGATACTTGAAGTTTCCGTAGCAGTGGTATTTATTTTGACTGGGGTTTTGGGGTTGCTAACCTCATGCCCAACCTTACCTCTTTACCAGTCTTATTGCTGGATTAGCGAGGTGAAGGAGTACGTTTGCCAGGGATTGAACCCTGAACCATCTCCATGGTTGGTGAGCATTCTACCGTTGTGCCACCAACGCACAAATTTGTAAGTTATATTATTTTTTCTTAATTGGATCTACTGGGTCATTAGGTCAGCAAATATTATCTCTGAAAGAGTTTTCGGTTTGAATTCTCAGTAGCTGTGGCCTCAAATCCAACCTTCCATCTCTACCAGGCTCATTTACTATCTACCGAGTAAACTGGTTGAGGTTAAGTAGCGTGTTGGCAGGGAAATGAATCCGGGCCTCCGGCATGCTAAGCGAGTATTCAACCATAGAATTACTGACATTAGTTAAGAAGTTAAAACAGGTCACAAAATTCATCATGACACTTAAAAATATCAATAAATCTCTGATTGGTTGATAGATAGTGACTAATGACATGCATCTAGTTCTGGTGTAGAGTTTATACAAACATATATCAATAAATATGGCTATGGAGGCAGTCAGAAACGAACTCATTTCTGACCAAGAACTCGAACTTAGGACAAAAGTGCCACTGGGAGCACAGCTATGCCTGACTTCCACAGTATTTAAATTTCAAGGGAAAATATACAAACAAACTAAAGGATCACCAATATCCCCAGCTGTAGCAGATATATTCATGGATAAGTGGGAGAGCATAGCGATTGAAACGTTCACCCCCACCCCAAAAGTATGGTGGAGGTTTGTAGATGACACATTCACTGTACTTAGAACACAAGATATAGATAGGTTTTTCGAACACACCAACTCGAAGGTAGAGGTAATTCAATTCACTCATGAATCGGAAAATCAGGAAGGGGAGCTTCTAATGTCAGATTGTAACGTAAAAAGGAAAGAAGATGGGAAGTTAAACACTAGTGTGTACAGGAAACCCACACACTCAAACAGATATTTGGAATTCCGATCATCCTATCCTATGTCAATAAAAATAGGATTGGTGAAATGTTTAAATGACAGAGCACAAAAACTAAGTAGTACCAAAGAAAATCTAAAACAGGAACTGATACACATAAAAGAAGCCTTGAAACTTAATAATTACCCGGATAAATTAGTCAATAAATACGTAAGGAAATGTAAAAATAAATAATGATAGTAGCGATAGTGATAATAATAATGATAATAATAACAGTGATAATAATAATAATATTAATGACGACACCAACAACAAGGAATCTAAATCATCAGTAGTAATTCCATACAAGGAAGGAACCTCGGAAGCCTAACGCAGAATTCTTAACAAGGCAGGAATAAAAACGGCATTCAAACCCACAAACTCAATTAGAAACAAGCTTTGTCGGTTAAAGGATCCTGAAGAGTCTTTAAGATAAAACAATTTAGTTTATCTAATGCCCTGCTGGAATGATTGTCAGGTCAAATACATAGGTCAAACTAGTAGAAGAGGGGCAATCAGACTAGCTGAACATAAAAACTTAGCAAAATCTAGATTGGTTGACCCGAATAAAATAAGAAATCTAGAGAATAGTTCAGCTTTAACTCTACATGCAGTCACACACAACCATACAATAGGATGCATGGGATAGGATGACAGTTTTAAAATCTAATGTCACAGGGTATAGAGACAGATTGGTAATAGAAGCTTTGTTTATTGAATCAACTGCAAATTCATGTAATAGGAATGATTCAACACCTGTCCCAGATATCTGGAAAATTCTTCTACCCATACGACAAATAGGAGAAAACAAAGAAAGCTATAAAACTCAAGTGTCAAAGTCGTGTGATCACAATTGATATGATTATGAAGAATACATTTTGTTCAAAACGTCATCCAGTAAATGATACCATTTCACTGTGTGATATATCTAATAAACAAACTAATATTGAATTACTTACTACCACAGTGCTAAAGTTATGCACATATATTAGAGTGAATTCTATCAGTCAAGCCTCCGATGTGATCATCACGAGTCTGTAGAGCTCAGTGACTGAAACACTGGACCACAAGACTTCAAACCTGAGCTCCGAAGTTTCGGTAGAAGTGGTGGCGTTGCTTTTATGAGGAGGGGATGCCACAACCGCACACTAAACCTTCCGTCTTTCCTATGCTTGCTATTGGCTAGTATACTAAGCGTGGTTAAGGAGCGTATCAGTCAGAAATCATCCCTGGAATTCTAATATGCCAACAAGCATTCTGCCCTACTTAAATATTGACGCGCAGTAAATTATAACAGTGTTAAAATTTACTATGACAGAAAACACAGATAGACAAATCAATCCAGGAAGGAACACCATTAGAATGCATTAGTTGAAAGCTGCTATACTTTGGAAAAGAAAGATATGAGATAGACTGAGAGAACAATTTAGTGACAAGCATTTACATGTGTGCCACTGAGAACACTTTTGACCTACATTAGCAAGAGTTGGTAGTCATTTAATCTTAAGATTATGAGAACTTCAGACAGGCCAGAATATAACTAATAACCAAGGCTCACATCAGTAGTTGGTGAATTCATGAATTTCCACTGATCACTTAGCCTCATCGTCCATAACTTTAATTTAGATAACTTTTCTCACTTTGTAGGTATGTGCGTGCGTATATGACATGTTACGCTTAGCATGTTCTTCATCCATCTCAAATGAAAAAGATTCATGAGTTCATATTAATTAGTATCATAATTATTATTATGAAACAGAATAAAATTTCATCTGGGTAGGTCGAAGCGTTTGCGGATCAAGATCACAGATAAGGTTCAAAGTAATAAAAAAATAACCTTCGAACAATTAAAACAGGTTTAAGCCTTTTTGATGGCTGAGACTTCAACGAATTTAATTATATGGTCCATAACTGTTTTATATATGGGTTGTAAGGTACTATTGGAATCAAATTTATTACTCATTTCTATGACGTACATAGCGATGGATAATCCTGGACATCTTTTTCACGGGATTAATTGAGTCGGGCAATTTTATTTATTCTAGCAGGCAATTAAGAATGTTTTCTATAACCCTAACCCGAAGAGATCAATAAATCCTGTTTATGCACGCTCGACCACACAAATATGTGAACTGATAAATACAATGAGATATGAGACTGCTGTCCAGGTGCTGTGAGTGTTCACGGGACAACATAGACTTCATTTTCTCTATGGCAATGATTTTGGCTGCATGCTGAGTTCTACTGAGAGCTACTCTGGATCTTTGACTGGTGGTTAAACTCAACGTTCAAATAGTTGCGTCAAATCCCACTATATTTATCAATTTATATATATATATGCAATCACACGTGCATAGAGAGCTACAGAACACATTCCTAATTTACAGGATTTCATCATGAGCTGATATCAGTTAGAGGACCATTTGAAAATCTGCACAACAGTTTCGTCCTAGTTTGAGACTCTTCACAGTATGCACCCACTGGGGATCGAACCCAGGACATTCCGGTTGCGAAGCGAGCTCGTAGATCATTGAGCCTTG